GGATCTTCCACTTGCTAGGTTTAGCCACTACTCGACTGTCTCATACAAATATGGTAAAGCTAGCCCTAAAGAACAAACAAACAAGCAAACAAATTTTTGGGAGGGGTGGACAATTAATTTAAGCACGTTGTCCCACAATTTGAGATACATGGAAAGCTGGGACCAATGTGGAGGATCTTAACAATAAGTTTGTATAAACGTATCTACATTTAATAGCAGAACCAAATTCAGCTTATTGACGGGCCCTTCACAACAGTCCCGGTTTCTAATGTGGTCCCTTAGGAACATTTACTGCCCACCCCTGAATAATATGGCCCTATTGATCAACTGAGGAGCTCCAACAATGGCTGCAGACCCAGAAGAACCAGAACTGGGAGCAAGATGGGTGATAGGAGCATGTGAGGCTGGCATGTACTGCAAAACAAACTAATCATACCCAACCAGTAGACTAAGATTCAAAACCTTCTAATGTAGCCTGGGCTGATGTACATGTCAGTCTGGCAGCCAACAGTGATGTTGGAACAATAGAAGAGAATTAAATATGCTAAGATCAGCATATGCAAAGTTTGACAGCAGTCCACTTCTATGATACTGTAAAACTACGTTAGACACAAAAAGTCACCACAACCATGACTTTTCTTAAACTTTTCCAGGCCTGCCCTGTAATTTTCTATCAGCCCTTTATCACAAAATGAATTTTAATGAAGTAAAGGGCAGAGTGATAGCATCAGCAAACTTATTAATCTTCCCCACAAAATCTTATTAGTGAAACACAGCTTCACTTCATGTTTTTCTCCCAGAACTCCACGTTTCTCCTGCAGCGGCTCTACTCCCAACATTTTGAAAAACTCTCATGGAAACAAGCTCTTAATCACCTAAAAGCCACAAGGTGGCTGACTGAGCACTCATCTGAACTCATATTCCACTTTAGAGAGAATTTCAGGTTGTTTTGTGAGTTTTGTGAAGAATAGTTTAGTTCAAAAGGTTAATTTGCAGTAGTTGAGGATCAAGAAAAAGAGGAAATGAAAGGTTCTGTACAAATCATCTCAATCATGAACTTTTTCAAGGGAGGAGAGAGGGGACCGTGTTCACACAGCGAAAAAAAAACAAAAAAAACAAAAAAACCCCATCCTCTCAGCTGGGATTAAACTGGACTGCAAAACAACATACATACACAGACACACACACAGGGACAGTGTGAGGCAGATGGAACAAACCCTGGACTGTCTTCGATCTAAAGAATGTTATTCTGACCCACTTAGACAAAGAGACAGAGGAAGAGGAGAATCAGTGCGTCTGTCTGCTGGATTTGGAGGCGATGAGTAGCATCTTTATTTCTCTCGCCGTGTCAGTGAAGTGATTGTTAAGAAGGAAATACCCAGAAAATCCCTTTTTGAAGAGCGAATAAGGCCTCTGTCAAATTAGTCCTTCAACAGGTTCTCATTAATAGCTGGTGCTCGTGTTTCATTAAAGAAAGTCTGGGCTCATTGACTGAAACCGAGAGCCATATTCACATCGAAAAGTGGCAATGTGCAGCGTGCTTGTGCGGGAAAGGGCAAAAGGACTGGATAAGTGTGTGTGTGAAGGCTCAGCTGCTGATAACTAAATAAATCAACAAGGATCTGCATGTTTCTTTTTCCTCCAGCAGCAGCTTTCATCTGGGCAGATTTCCAAACTTGCAGCTTGTTTTTGAACTCTAAAACCCTGTGCGGCCTGTATAACTGAACAAGCACCTGCTTCATGCCTGCTACTCGCCTTACCTTTGTTGTAATGCCATCCCTGCGCTTCTGTGTGTGTGATGGCTTTATTTCCAAGCTTTTCTATGCCTGCAAGGATGCAAACACAGGCAGGCAGGTGTGTTGTTTTGTGTGGTCCAGGATGAAACCCACAATGCTCAGATGACAGACACACCAGGTCGAGGGTGAAAGGCCTTTGTTCCTCCCTTCTCACCTTACCACCAAAGATATACTGTAGGTCGGAGCCTCCATCCTGACACAACACAGCAAAGCCCCTATAGGTGGGTGAGGGATGGGTGAGGAGGGTCAGGTGTCAGCTTGAAGCCTTTTGAGTCAAAAGCATGTGACCATTTGTGAACTAACCCAGTAACCACATCTGTCAGGATCACAAAGGTCCTATAGTTTAGTGATGTATGTACAGCATATCGATATTCTCTTTGCATTTGCACCAACATGTCCGTGTGAATGAATCACCTGTGATGCACATCAGGGCTGTAAGACCACTAACAACCCTCTGAGATGCAGCCCTAGCTCTGAACACCAATCCTAAAAAAGAACTTTTTCTGGAAAAAAAAATGGAAAACAGTTTGAAGTTTTAATCAACAACTTTTAAAAAGAACAAAAATTATGTATACAGTACATGGAAGAAAGTATTGGGCAACATGTGTTAATCTTTAAATTTAGGTATTTTTAGTCCCATTGCCACAGATGTAAGAAATCAGGCACCGAGCTTTTATATTGAAGAATGGATCTTTCCTATGAACTCACAGAATTCCAGTGGGATACTGTAATTGGATGCCACCGCTGCAACAAGACTGTTTGTGAAATTTCCTCCTTCCTAGATATTCCACCATCATCTGTGGTGGGATCAAAGTGGAAGCATTTCAGAACCACAGCAACTCAGCCACGATGTGGCAGACCAGGATTGTGTAAATGTCACCAATGCTCTGTTCTCAGTGACTGCAGAGCTCCAGGGCTGGAGTTTCCATGGCTAAGCTGCTCCTGTAGGTGTAAAATGTAGGTGGCCCAGTATTTTGGCCCATATTGTGGGGTTAGCATCATCTGCCAAGGATTAGTTAGACCTCACAGAGTTAAAGACACTTAGGTTTTGCAGAAATGTGACTGCTAACCATGTGACATTAACTTCCATTTTGGTTGTGTAACAGTCATGATGATCATGTAGGATCAAGAGAATAAGGCCCCAGTCATAGTGCCCTGGACACCGGTCCATGACCATCTGGCAACAACCAGTTGTTCAGGAAAAGACTGCTGAAGTCCCAGACACAGGCCCACAGACTGGCCAGTGACCACCAATTTTCCCTAGTGACCAACGTGTTGCTGTGTATTCCCCAAATGGTTGGCCGCTAGCATATTACTGCAGATGACCAAAGTTTGAATGGCAATAAATTTGTCTATTGTAGTTAAACTGGAAATACTGTGACGTGAACTGGAGATGGAGACTGTTTGCCTTCAAAGTAAAACTTGTGTCTTTTGTAACATGCTGGCTACAACTCTGAATACAACTTTTACTTTGGAGGCAAAGCCTCTCCATTCTTGGTTTGAATTAAATGTTTACAATTTGTACTGCCCCTGTTAGTTTGTGTGCATTTGCAGACAAACATGGAACAGGAAACCTTAGCAACGTGCTAGCAACCAAAGCAACGACTAGGGCGTTTTTGGTCAACCACCTTCTGTGCAACTGATTTTATCCAGCGGCATCCAGGAACGACTGCCAACCAGTTGGGGAACATAGTTTTTCTACAAACCAGTGGTTGTATCATGCCCAGTGTCGAAATCTTGAGAAATCTGCACTTTAATATTCTCTGAAGAGCAACTAGTGTTTTGTTGTTTGTTTTTTTTGCACTACTTGCCACAGCGCAACTTTTCTTATCGATACGAGACCAAGTAAATACAGGGTCAGTATTGCTGATAGCATTAACCTATAAACCTCAGCTTATGTGCAGCAATGTGTCATGATTTATAAGATGAAACCTACATTTTTAAATTCTCATCATTTGAACCACTGCGATTTTTTTTAACAAAAACAAACCTTTCAGCTTTTTTATGCATTTTGAAACTGGGTTTTTTTGTTTGTTTTGAAAACCTAGAATGTAAATGTGCCCGTCTCTGAAGCACTTTGTGCCAACTATAAATAAAATAGGCATGAATTAATGCAAAAGGGTTCAGACATGCTTCAAAGAGTGCATTTGAGTGTATTTTTCCATTTCCAGAAAAAAATAATTTAAAGCATTCATTGGTCTACATACTGAACTAGGATAAAAATAAAGTAGCTAGTACCTATCCGATACCAGTACCATATAATATTGACATTTGAATCAATCCGCCCACGTCTAATATTTGGTTTGGCTGAGAATCTGGCCAATCAAAGCTGACCTGACCATTTCATAGGTGGTCTTTAAAGAGACGGGAGTTCATTTAAGGCAGAACAACAAAAGAGGCAGTGCAGCGAAGTACCATCTGAGAACATTTATTTATTTTTTGAAAATTAAGGCGTATAAACACATTCTCAGATTAAAAAACAAAATAGTGGGTTTTGGCTTCTCAGAAATGTTTCAAACCTCAATATTATCCTCCATGTCACAAACCCTCACCCTGCTTTACATGTGATAATGCTTTTCAGCTGTTACAATGTCACATGATAGGCACACATGATTCTCATATATTCACATGTTAGATTTATGTTGTGAAACTTTTCATGTAACTGGGAAGAGAAAAAAACAACACAAAACTGTTGCACATGTAAAATATAATTCCCTCAGAGCTTTCAACCATATCACATGGCATAGACATGGATTTGACATGCTAAGTTGGTAGTAGTTTACAGTGTAATCCAACACTTTGAGGACTGCTTCGGGGTGAACAGTACAGTTCATTTTCAGGTCACAGCTAATAGCATCAGAGAGGTCAAGAGGTCATGAGGGATTCTTGCATAAATTTCAACCAAAAACAAAGATTTGTTTAATTCTTCATTTGCAATAAGAGATGAACAAAAGACCTCAATGAGACAATGACAGAGGAGCTGTTTCTGTAACATGGACAGATCAAATGTGCAGCTTAGCTTGGTCTCATCCCTGCTTCACTACAATAGTCCAAATTGTAACTAAAATTGGACTAACACCAGCGTCCAGGCCTAATCACACTTCCTCATCAGGAACACGGAAGTGCAGCGACAACGGTCATGACATAAACGGACCGTTTTAAAGCGGGAGAGCAGGAAAAATAGGAATTTGACTTTGTTTGCTGCTCCGTGTAGCACAGGATCCCTGCCACTAGCTATCCCACCCTTCCTCATCAACTTTCAGGCCGGACAACAAAACACACCCATTCCACATTTCTGGATCTAACTCGCTGAGGTGACTTTAGGTTCGCTACAGAAGTGCTCCTTGTCTGCTTGTCTCCTGATGGGGGATCAGCCACCGTCTTAAATAACGTGTTGTATGACTACGGCTGTTTGAACGAAATTCAAACAAGAAAATAAAGAAGTGCACAGAGATAACCAAGTCTAAGACAATCATTTCCTTTGTGAAGCTGAGAGACAGGAGTTCCTTTCCCATGAGACCAGAGCTTAATATTGTGTATAAGAAAACAGGAAGCGTAGTGTTTGCCATCCTTTGCAATTCTCCCACAAAGTCGTGCCTCTCATTTTCCTTAATCGTCCACTTGATCAATTCAGGGCGGTACTAAGAAAAGAGGGGGGATCGAGTCCAACAGGTGTACCTTACTCCTCTCTAAAGAGGGTGGCTCGGATGTCTTTGTCAGCTCTTCTCGTGTCAGTCAACTTGTTTTCATTAAGGGCGAATGATGGAGCGATGGAGGAAACAGGATAGGAGCAGGAGTGAGTCTTAGACTCCTCGTTTCTGCTCATACTCTGCTGATGTTTCTGCTCTTTTACATGAAAGGGAAGTACAGTTCAGAGTGGGAGCACCTCTGGTTTCATCTCGGTGAAGAAAAGCAGCACTGATTCCTTTACAGAAACAAGAAAATCAAAAGCAAGCTTGTCTTTTCTTTTGTCTGCCCGTAGGAGGGTATGAAAGCAAAACAGAAACAGAGAGCGAGCCTCTAATCGCTTTTCTCCATCGGTCAGCGTCTCTTCTGTTTCCTCGTTTTATCAGCCAACAAAGGGAGGAAAGAAAAACCAAACATTGAGAGAAGTCCTCTCTCTCTCTCTCTCGTTGTCAATCAATTCCACTTTATCCATGTGCTTCCCCCACCCTCATAGGTCAGCATCCAGCTGGCACGTCCGACATGAAGTCGAACTCGTTCTGTCCCAGCCAGAGCTCGGGCAGCTCGTTGGCCCGGTCCAAACCTAGCTCCACCACCAGAGACATGAGGACCTCCTCGTCCACAGGGTCAAAGTCGATAATCCCACCAGCGCTGGAACTTTGGTTGGCCATGCCAATCCCGACACCCATCCCGCCTCCTCCAAGGCCTCCAGACGGTGCCAACAGCTGATTACCCGCTCCCAGTTGCGGGGGTCCAAAGCCTCTTTGAGGCCCTCCAGGCCCAGAGTGTCCGCCAGAGGCACTGGCAAGGTTTTGGTAGTGTGAGTTGAGCTTCTGCAGCTGCATGCTGGCGATGAGGTGCGGCCCCGTTTGCAGACAGAAGGGCTGCGGCTTGGAGAGAGGCGTCGAGGACAGGGCCGATCCACGAGAGGACGCGGGGCCGGTGGATGGGGAAAAGGGCGCCACGGAGGTTTTAGAGGACGGGTAGTGGAGGAGGGAGTTGAGAGGAGAGGTGGAAGAGGAAGAGGAGGAGGAGAGGTCCTTCATTGCAGCGTGGGCGTGGCCAGGAAACAGCAGTGAGGTCATCACAGGGAAAACCCAGAACCTGCAGGAGGGGGGAAAGAAGGAAAAGAGAAGAGGTGTTACGTAATGTCACCTAATCAAACTGGGACACGAGGAGGAAGAGATAAGATTGTTAGCTGAGTAGAGGCTCTGATAACCAGTTACATCATAGAGGGAAGATATCAATAATGATAAGACCTCAGTAAGATGGCTGAGACAATTCACGGTAAAACATAGAAAAAAAAAATATGAAAAGATGTTCATGAAGAAGCTCTTTATTTGCTAGAAAACATTTAATTTACACTTTAAATTATTCAATTCTTTTATTTAACCTATGAAGTTGCATGAAGCAGGTATAACCAGTGTTTAGATAACAAGCAGAAAGTCTGAAGGTTCTCAGTCATCCAGGTCATTGGAGTCTCTTAGTCTCTTAGAACTAAAGATGCTTCTCGGATGAGAGATGAAACGTCTTCAAGAAACTTAAGTCCAGATGCTTTAGACAACAAACAAAAACGTGACTCCTCAACTTCACACACTGGACACACAAAACTATGAAAACTGTTTTCTGAAAACAGTTACAGCACATTAGCAATGCAACCTCGGAGAATATGTATAATACGTTAAACCTACGCACACGCTGCACATCATGCCTCAGTGGGACATTTAGAGCCAGAGTTGCTGCTGCTTTAAAGAGGCCCACTCCTTGGCTGTCTCTTTGTGTGATGGAGAGCAGCACGCAGGTGTCTATCGCTTCATTTTTAGCCCTTTCTCGCTCACATGCGTCCGTCCTTCGCTCTTGTGTAAAAGCAATGCGTCATTACGGCAGCAACAATGGTAAGTTATTAAAGTAAAAGGCAGGAGCTCCTTTTTGTTTGCATTTGGCTGCTGGGTTACTCGCGTCACCACAAATTTTAGTGCAAGGCTTGAAGGGCTGTTGACGCCATGTATGCAGTGAGGCTCCAGGAGTAAATATCCCATTCATATCTTCCATCCTGCATCAGAAAGACAACCTGTCCGGGGTGTACCCTGCCTCTCGCCTGTTGGCAGCCGAGACAGGCTCCAGGCCCCCCGCATCCCTGATAAGGATAAGCGGAAGAGAATGGATGGATCCATAGGGATTTGGAAATGGAGAATGTTCACCTTCAGAGTAAAAGCTGTGAACAGCACTGCAGTCAACATGTTTCAAATGGTGCAACTTCTAATGTGAGAAGGTGGAGAAGTTCAGCCTTCTCCACTTGTGCTGTTACACTTTTTCACAGTTTCACTGCAGCTCGGAGTGTATCTGTGGTCCGTCACTTCCAATCTTATAACAACTACAGCACCAACTAAAGCAACCAGTTGGGGAATACTGGTTTGTGGAATACGTGGACCAGTCTGCAGGCCTGCACGACTAGGGCCTTACTCACGTTATACTACTGGGATCAAACCCTCACAACCACTAACAATCCTACTTTATCATCATGACTGTCACAGTTACACATTAAACGTCATGTGGGTAGTGGTCACGTGTCTGCAAAACCTTACTGTAAAGATTTTCTGAATAGAGAAAACGAATGGGGAAATTCCCTTCCTGAACTAATAATAGCACAGCTAACTTCTGTCTTGAAGAAATGGTTTGGGATGTAGAACCCAGGAAGAACCTACAGACAGCCCTTTCACACCTCTGGTGTTTAGTCAGTTGTCCTCCTTGGTGCGGCTCGTTTGTGCGGATGCGAACACAGTAATCACACTCTGGCACAAAGACCTCGATGCAGTTCCAAATGAAGTCAGCACGGTTCGTTTATTGAATTTGTCAATTTAATCCAATCTTAATCAGACACAACTAAAAGGTGTACCTTGCAAGTTTAAGCTAAACACTTTGCATTCTGGGATGTGTCCCATAGATGTTTAGCACGAGTTAGCAACTAGCCATGAAAGGAAGGTAAATTCTCCAGGTTCTCCAATAGTCTCCAACATCATCTTCTTGTATTTACCTCTGTTGCACCCGCCCCAAACACATCTGGCCAATGAGACTGAACATTCTCACATAGTTTGTAATGATGCATTAGGGGTCGTTTTGAGTTTGCTTGTAGCTTTTTCCTGTAGCTTGGTTTGACAGATCAAATCAGATCACCTGATCTGGACCCGAGTAAACAAACTACAGCTTTGTGATACACATCACATACAAAAGTAACTTTGGTGTATTTCCATAAATTTTGACTTAGTCCTTCACCTTTTGGTTTTCATTCATAAATGTCAGACAAACAGCCGCTCTATTAGCCTTCCTTTGTGATGAGTTTTTAAAAAGTAAAAGACTGTAGAAGTTCCAGATACCTAAAAACATTTCTTCTCACAATGAGAAATGGATTACTGGGGACACGAGTAACACATGTGACAAATGAGGAAAGGATCACAAACATCCTAAATGGTCAATTAAAAGCGTTTCCTGACAAACATGCAGCCGCTTCAGACCGCAACAACAAAGGCATTGTTGACCCAACAGGCGCGGTAAATCACTGAAGTCACATCTGTCTGGGGAACGCACCATGAGGTGAGGCATGACTGTGTGTGTGTGTGTGTGTGTGTGTGTGTGTGTGTGTGTGTGTGTGTGAGAGAGAGAGACTGATTCTGTTAGCCTGATGCCTGCTTTTCCCTCTTGACCTATTGAGCAGCAAATTAACCATGAAAAAGCCTGCAAGGAGAAGGCCTGTGGGTACCTATGGGGTTAGTGAGTGTTTATAGGTGTGTGTGTGTGTGTGTGTGTGTGTGTGTGTGAGAGAGAGCCTCTGAGGATCTCAAAGAGTGATTGGCTCATGTGGGAGGATAAATACATATGGGCCCTGAGAAGAGGCCATATGTCCCTATGACTGTGTGTGTGTGTGTGTGTGTATGAGTGTGAGCAGCAAGAAAAAGTTGCCGAGTTGTGTGGGTAGAGATAAAAAGGGTGAGTGAAATGCAACGTGTGTGTGCAGAGAGACTCCTAAAGGCTCATGTTGTCCCTCAGCTGGTTTATATTACACACAGTTCAAACTGCATGTGTGTCCGCATACACACAATCATGCGGCTATCCTTTGAGTAAGTTAATCGCCTAATGATATGTGCTGATATACACACACACACACACACACACACACACACACACACACACACACACACACACACACACACACACACACACACACACACACACCTCTCAGCACTGGCTCTTATTTAGCGAGAACATAATTGCTACAGGCAGGCATGCAGCTGCACTCAACTGATAGAGTTAGCACACACACACACACAGAAACCTGCCATTGACAGCTGTTTGGTATCTTCGTGTGTGTGCGTGCACGTGTGTTCATTATTCATTGACTGATTACTGTCAGGGCCAGACTGCACATGGTGTCTCTGCTCAACAGCTTTCCAGCACACGAGTCCAAAACACACAGACACACACACACACACATACATAAAGGTCTTGCAAAGCTTCTATGTATGGGCTCAAAATGTGGTCATAAATATTTTGTACTTGTAAATCAGGATTTGTATGTGTTAAAAAAATTTGTGTGTGCGTAAAAAAGATTTGTGTGTGGACTTAGCCAAAAAAACCCTGCAAGTTACAAGTACGAATTTTGACCCTATTTTTCTTCCTTTCATCTGATTGGTCAATGTCATGTCAATCACAAATGTAACAATCCAATCAGAGAACAGATGGGTTTGGCTGTCGAGGGGCGCTTTTTTTGAACTGCAGGTCTTTGAAGGGAATAAATGCCCTTTTACATGCCAACCCAGCGTTTTCCTTCATCACCACGAAGGAAAACAGTCTGTGGTCGTCCGAGTTTGGTGATTTTTGTGTCACAGGTCTACGTGTTTAATACAGGGACTTCCACAGCCTTTTCAACAGCGCTGCGGACCGCGGGGTGGGGGCGGGCAGTGTTTTGGAAATGACAGTCTTCATTACAAAGCTTTCTTCGTTATGAATTAGCATACATGTTTTTATTGAACATTTGAAGAACTAGCAAAAAAAACAGAAACTCTTGTAGAGGACATAAAGTCAGAGATAGAAAAGACAAGGAGCAGGTGCATCTAGTACAGGTAGAGCTGCTGCAAAAACCCACAGAGCCCAGCAGCCAGCGCAACAAATTCTGGATCCTTTGCTTTTAGTTAGCAGTTAGCATTAGCAGCACATCCTGCGTCCGATGTGAAAGGACTTTTATGCTGCGCACTGTGACTCACAGCAATGGTCCTGGGTCAGCCCTGACTTTGTGTTAAACTAATCCTAAAGTAATAATGGTATTTCTAACCACTGATATACCACAACTTTATCCTTTCAACAGCTACTGAAAGTTAGGGGACCTAGCTGCTATCGGATATTTATATAGAGATCCTCCAGCTTCAAACTGTATCACCCTTCAAGGACCTGCAGTTCAAAAAAGCGCCCCTCCGACAGCCAAACCCATCTGTTCTCTGATTGGATTGTTACATTTGTGATTGACATGACATTGACCAATCAGATGAAAGGAAGAAAAATAGGGTCAAAATTCGTACTTGTAACTTGCAGGGTTTTTTTTGGCTAAGTCCACACACAAATCTTTTTTACGCACACACAAATTTTTTTACACATACAAATCCTGATTTACAAGTACAAAATATTTATGACCACATTTTGAGCCCATATCTATAATACATACATTTTAAACTTTATATGGTAACACCAGCCTTAATAACAATTTTTGGCTTTGATATATTCAGATTAAATACAGCAACCAAAAAGTCCAAACAGCCTCCTCCTGCAGTTCCTCGAGTGGTCACTTGAGACTGCCTCTAAAAGTGAATCAATCTCCATAGACTCCAGTGTTAAAGTGCTCCACTTTAGAGCATTAAAAAACAAAAAAAAAACAAAAAAAACAACAACAAAATTTAGCAGTCTGTACCTGTGCTAGTACAACTACATGATCCTTGATGACAAAACAAAATGATGGTTGTACAGTAGCCACCTAATGCTACGTAAGCATTAGCGTTTAAAATTACATTTAATCAGTGAACAGTCTGGAGTGTTCTCTCCTGCAGAAGGAGTACGGCTCAGACTAACTTGCATTCTTTTTAAATTGCCAGCAGGGGGCGGTGCCTCTAGTTGCGACTTCAGGTTTACTTGCACATGCACAAAACTAGTGTGTGTGCTGCATGTAAGGATGTACTGTGTGAGTCTTTATTCAGTCCAACATCATTGAGAAGCAATATAGATTAAAACATGCTTTTATACCACTGTTAACAACTGCAACAGCATCAATAATTACAATAATAGCACTGCTACCACCATTATTAACTTTCACCACTAATACCACCACTACACTTTATTTTTTATTCATACCCCCACCACTACTATTTATACCACTATCACCATGACTACCTGCTACTACTGATACCACAACCACTACTACTCCTACTGCCAACAACCACCCTTCTCCCCCATCACCATTACGAATAACCAAACCACTACCACCAACACCAAACATCATTATTATTATTATTATTATTATTATTATTATTATTATTGATCATAATGTTACAAAGAAGAAAATTATAATAAAGGCAAAAAAACAATAAACAGAATAGCCCTATCTGCTCCCTTCTTTTATCAAATGCATCACTTTCTCCACGAGCTTCTCTATAAACACTTTCCTGATGATTTTATGGGCTTGATTGCTTCTTTCAGGTCATCTTGAATAAAACATGGAGGTAACTTTGCAATTTACAGTCATTATTAGAGTCAGAACGGAGGATTATCCAGGGCTGAGGACCTGTCAGTCACTAGTTGTTAGCCGATAAGTGCCATTAGTTTCCTCACTCATCATGTACGGTTTTACAAAAGGACCTTACAAAAGGGCGAACTGTGATGTCACGTCCTACATCTATGATCAAAAACCAATGAAACAAGTCAAACCACCATTGCAGCACAAGTTGCTTCTCTGAGACACATAAGTCAGATATAATAAACCTCAGAAAAATCACAAATTAAAACACATGGAAGAATCTTAACAGCAAACAGAGTGTTAGAAGCATTAAAGTGTTATTCTGAGGTACAATCAGCAGATCTGTTCCATGCTTTTTAAATCAGATTTTACCAGTGATGCTATTTCTGACTTTTTTCTTTTACATCTTGGTAACCACAGAGATTGAAATGAATAAATTCAAATAACACTTCAAAAATAACTTCCCAGGTAAGCGCCTGGAGATTATGGCCACCGTGTGGAGAGACTTCTCCGGTGTCCATTAAGCTCCGACTACGTCTGGAGTGGCCATCCTTGCCTTTTGTTGCCAGCACAGTTATCGTCTCGTTCCCCTCGATCAGCTTCAGTCTTAATTGACGTTGAAGGGGCTTAATCACATCTTAAACGTTGCTCCCCAAACAAGGAGCAGAGAACACACACACACAAAAAAAAAAAATTACAGATGCTGCCACATGTGCAGAAACCCAACATGTTTTATGCAGGCCGACTTCTGCTGACCTGATGTGCCAAATTGTTTGTTACATGGAGCCATCTGGGAAGTGCTCCATGGAAGCTGGCGCATATGAGATACTTTGTAGGTCATTAAATGAACCTCTGTGTACTGAGGACTGAACTGAACCAATCAGATGAATGAACAACACTTTGAAGAGAGCAACAACAAGGAAAAGCTAGCTAAAAAAGAAGAAAACAAACCAAAAGAAAATCACAGCACAGTTGTTATGATGAGGGGAGCTATCCAGAAAAGCCACAATCAGGCTGTAAATGTGGTTTTAAATGCTATAACGTTACAATCGGAGTCTATGGGGATTGACTCGTTTTTTTGGAAGCAGGCTAAAGTGGCCACTAGAGGAAGTGCAGGTTTGGGGTTTTTTTGCTTCATTTTTTATTAATGAGGAAATAAAGTGAATGTATTCTTCAACAACCTCCTTCAACATTGATTATCAAAGCTGCCTGCTGGATAACTTTTCAGTTTGCAGTCAGTTGTATTGAACTTGACACTCGTTCCTCACTACATTTTCTAAATCCAACATCCCAGAGCTCTGTTATTGTTTTTTTTCTCTTTTTTAGATATTTTTAAAAAGCTGGTTTCTGGTATCTGTTTGGGAAAATCTGTGTATTCAATTTCTGGGCTGAGCTTCTTTGGGTGTAAAACAGAAACTTCCTTCCTTAACGGCTTGTTTCGGTTTAAATCATCACAGACCTCGTGGTTTACACGTGCCACATATCAGAAATTGTGGGTATTTAAGCTGCCAGATGCAGTCAGAGATGAGAGGGGGAGGCATAAAAGCCATATAAAAGAAGATGAAGCTTCTTTGTTCTTGGTTTTAAAAGAAAAAATAAGGATTTTACATTGAGTTGGGAGACTTCTGCTAAAAGTGATGAATATGACTTGTTTGTCCTCTGCTAGTGCCTTCTGTTTCAGTCAGATGCGAGGATGAAGCGGGAGGGCCGGGGCTAGGAAGGATGCAGTGTGTGAAACGGCTGGATGAGGGCCAGTATTTTTTTTTTCCTGTTCACAGCTGACCGGGGCTCATTGTGTTCTCCCACAGCTTTTTATGGGATTGGTGAAATCAGCCCTGGCTTCTTGTTTCCCTGTAAATTCTTTCATTAGCAATCCAGGCTCCTGTGTTGGCTTGCAGAGTGGCTCCTGTTTGTTTTAATTAGAAGCAAGGAAAGTCTGCTCTCCCTCGAAACTGACAACAACACAGTTTTCAAGCACAAAAACATCAAGAAATTATGAGAACTGAGCATTCTGATATCTTTGCGTGGCACCTTTTGTTTTCCTGGAAAGTTGAATTTTAAATTAAATGAGCAAATCCTCTGAAAGGGGTCCATTTTTGGAAGCTTTTATTTTGAAATTGACTGTCCAGCAAGTAATCAATTAAACAATTAGCTTCCAGCACTAGCTAAAGTTAGAGTTGGATGTCTCGAGACCGGTCTTGGTCTTGACAGACTTTGGTCTTGGTCTTGTCTTGGTCTCGGATCCCTCGATCTTGTCTTGTCTTGGTCTTGCTTTCTCAGATCAACATAGTGGTCGGGAGATTTGGAATCAACAGTATCCATGACACACAACGCAACGTTCGATACTGTGTCATGCGCAAAAGCATCAGCTCTAAGAGCCGTGCTTAGAGACTGCTTTGTAGTGAATCAGAAGAGTCGACTCCCACTGAGCGAGAGCCGGCTCCTCACTTGATTTCCTTTCGCTGCTCAGCTCTCACACAGTGGCTCAGCTATGCTCCAATCCCTCCATATTGTGGCCAATCACATGCGAGGATATAGGATAATATCATTGTGTAAAAAACAGAGAGGGTGAGAGACGCAACAGTCAAGTGGAGTGTGCGTCTGTCCTCTCAGTAAGTGAGTGAGACAGCAGACAGCGGTGAGGAGGGTTGTGCGAGTGCATCACAAAAACACATAAATATGCCTGACACCTGTAAACGAAGCAGCAAAAAAGTCTTTAAACTGAAGGTTTAAAGACTTTTTTGTCTCGGTCTCGACTTTGTCTTGACTTGGTCTGTCTTGGTCTTGGTTTCGTCTTGGTCTCGATACCCTCTGGTCTTGGTATTGTCTTAGTCTTGGTTTAGGTGGTCTTGACTACAAGTCTAGTTAAAGTACCAATAAAGTGACTAGTTGACTACATTTACTCCCCATAACCTTTACATAGGTCTTAATTTCTCATTTGTATCCTAACATATGTACGTGTGCATTCATATTGTGAGTATTTATATAGATGTACATAATCTACATACTGTAAATACCATATACTCCATTTCTGTACCAGTATGTTTTCTCCACTATGGCAATAAGACAAATTTGACAATGAACATAATTCGGATTTTGATCCACTGTTTATCAGGAAGACTGTAAACACTTCCCACCATTTAAGTGATTTTTTTCCAAGTTGGAATGACAGGATAAGCTCTTCCAAATAATTTCCTGCCACTGATTTAAACTGACAGCTAAAGTGGAGAGCAGGGGCAGAGCTGCAGTTGGGAAGCTTGCAACTTCATTAAAAGTACTCTGGTTCCACAGACCTGACACCCCGTTGATCTGAAGCTTTCCCTCCAAAAACAAAAAGTCAGGGAGTGTAAAGTCAACATGTGATCAGAATATTGCAGCAGTGATGTGATGTATCACCAAACCACCAACTCACAAGGGTTTCAATTACACAATTAAGCCCTGAAGAGCAAAACTGAAACGTCTGTCTCAGTCTCACACACACCATATGGTGCCCTCTTCCCTCCGTCCCCAGCCTGACTGGTCACTCCTTTTAATTACCTTCACACTGAGGGTAGTTAATGAGAAGCCAATTAAAAAGACCGACTTAAAAAGGAGAGAGCAGCAGCTCAAAGTCGCCCAAGTTATCCATTAAAATGAATGTAAAAAAAACAACAAAAAACTTCACTGCACTTGTGCCTGAAAAGGCTCCAGCTGCGGGCAGAAACCGCTTGACCTCATTTTAAAAGTGTTAAGCAAACACCGGAGAAGAGAGAAAGAAACTTTCCGCAGGATTTAGCGCACACTGACGGCTGCGGTCACAGCGCAAAACAGCGCAACGGAGTAGATGATGGACCCACCTGTGAGGAAAAGCCGCCGTCCCGTGCAGGCTGGAGAGCAAAAAGCAGACTTAAATGAAAGTGGGAGAGAAAAGTAGACTTAAAGAGCCGAGTCCGTACAGTCCGTAGCGCTGGGAATAAAAGCCGGTTGGTACCGATTTCAGAGAGAAGCTGAGAGCTGCTCAGGTCCGCTGATACGCGCACAGAGACGTCGGAGGGTTTGTCCGCTCCTCAGCGAGCGCGCTGCTGAATAAAAAGCATTTTGTGCTTCTCTTCTCACCGACCAGCCCCGGTGTGTGTGTGTGTGTGTGTGATATCTGCAAACCACGGACTGGATTCATACTGGATCCGGATCATGGAGCCGCTGAAGAGGCTTTAAATCTCAGTATAACCACGGGTCACATCACAGGGGCCATATGTTAGTCACACACTGACCGAGATTATTAGCTACTTTATACAGGAATATTACTATTTCTTTATTTATTATGTCAACATATAAGTATTTCTTCCTTTAATATTTTTATAAACATATATTTATGATATATATAATTTCTTTTATAGTATTTTAAAAATCTATTATTAAAATCTGAGGCCCTGTTAATGTTCCTGTAATTCTTCCAATATCTATAACAGTTTAAATCTAAATATTCTGAGATGATGTTAATTTCATGCAAACTACAGTGCACAGATTAATGGTTTTTCTGCATATGTGTCTCACTGAGATATGTTTCTGATCACCAGAGTAAACATAAAACACGGTTTTAAAATTATATTTCATTTATTAAGGGGAAAAACCTACTTGTGAAAAAGTAATTGCCCCGCTGAGTCCCATTAGATCTGGCATGAAACTAACATCAATAAAAACAGACTTAAAAAAAAACGAACAACCTTATTTTATAATACAAAACACAATTTTAAAAGATGTCCCCCTCTCTCTGTACCGTCCTTCACTACATCCATGGATCTTCTCTATGGTCTTCTTCTTGCTTCGACACCCTTTCTGCAGTATATCCACCATCCCTAATCTGCGGATGTCCAAACCACCTCAGCCTCGCCTCTCTAACTTTGTCTCCAACTGAGACAAACTACTCGTTTCCTGTCCATTCTGGTTGCTCCCAATTAAAATCTGAGCATCCTCAGCTTGTCTTTTTGTCAGAGCCAAACCACATGTATCGCTCCAGGTCTCACTGCCATCTTATGAACCTTTCCTTTCACTCTTGTTGTCACAAATCACCTCTGACACTCGCCTCCTGTCATTATTAGGATCCCGGTCCGGCTGAGTCAGGCCTCCAGAGTTTGGGAGCTGCTGCTGTGCTGGGCAGATGTTGCTCATTCTGAAGCAAACACCATCAAGAATCTAATGGACCATTTCAGGGCCCTCTGTCTTTGTCTGTGTCACTCAGCCACAATCAGAGAGGGAGAGAGGGGTTGGTGGTCTGTGGATGATTTGCATAACTCCATGTTCTCACTGGAGATGTCTTCATGTCATTGATGATTGGGTGGCTGCAGGTTGGAGCAGCAGAAACACTTGAGTTTGAGAGTTTGAGGCTCATAAATGGGGTTTTATGTAAGAGCTTTTAAAGTGGAAGGACATGTGTGAGAGTCCCAGTATGAGCCCGCTGAAACCAGTCATAAAAATCATGGCATTTGTTGTTTTATTGCCCTCTTATACTTGAGGGGCTGAAATTTTGATATATCAAGTTATCTTTGGTTTACTACTTTTTTAATATTTAACAGTTCTTCCAGGTTCTATCTTCATCCATTCCAATTAGAAATCAATCAAATTCATGCATCCTTTACACCCAGACCACCCTGCTGAACATCAGGCATCGGCACTGACTGATTGATTTAAAAGTTTGTCTCCAAGCGGAGTTTGAATTTAACACCAAAAATCAGGTTTTCTTCTTCTCCGAACTACTTCAGCTTCCCTTATTCACAGAGGGACAAACAAAGGCTGTTTTGGGAAAAGAAAAGCCTCTCTCCCTCCTCCAACGTCAGCTAAAAAGAAAAGAGAAAGCCGGGCCTGTCACCACAACAGTCTGCTGGGAGGGAGGACGTCATTACACGCCAACAACGCGCGACGACGGCGGCGGTCAAGTGCCACGCGCTCGGCCTCTCTTCCGTTAAGCAGATAAAAGGTGGCATCTGTCTTTATTGTGCGAGTAAATCCCCTCCGCCATTGACCGCAGACACTTCACATGTTGATGAGGAGGAGGATGTATAGATAGGAGGCCCCCCGTCCGCTTTGTTCACCTCCCTCTTTGGGGAGACGTTATGCAAATCCAACAAACCGTTTGTGATTTCCATCTTAGCTGACAAATAATTGAGGTGCTTTGGTTAGATGGGGTTATTTTTCTACTCCAGGGTTTTTGGATCTTACCTAAAAGCTGATAAAAACTTTTTTCTCATCAGGAAGAAACTGGAATGTTTTGGAGACCTTCCAAAGGTCAACAAGGCTCTGTAGAACTTATGCAAATATTTAATGCAACTGACGAGCCTCTTACTCAACAAGCGAAAGAAAGAAACAAAGGAGGAAGAGGAAGGCTGAGCCTTTGTCTTATCATAACTAATCAGCAGCCGGGGGTGAAATGATACTCTATTCAAAGCACTGAGGAGGGGCCCGCCTGCTGATTTGCATGAAATTCGTTGGGAGAGTTTTAAAGGTGTGTTCACTGCAGGCCATAACAGGAAGCAATCCCATAAATCAATCACCAAAGTTTACTCAGCATTACACAGTGTACACAGAGGGAATAAAAACACTTTTTGAGGTTTAATAGAAACTCAGATTGAGCGTAACTAAATGCAAAAACCTGAGTCCACTTATTCCACTTCCATGTTGGAAAAAAATACATCTGCATGGGTCTGAAGGAAGACGAGTTTCATCCAAGAGCAAATTACAGATGAATCCTGGAAATAAAGCCTCTGTTTTTGCCATAATGCAGAGGATAAGTTTTCCTTCACAGATGCACGTTGCATCACATGGATACGGGATTTTAAAATGACGGGGAATCTCCATCATTTAGTGCCAAGGCGGTTTAGATTCCATTCTGCATGCGGGCAAAAGTTACGTAACGTTTCCTGTTCAGTGACTCTGGCCTGCTTGCTTCCATAAAACTCTTCGATACTGATATTTAATGTCTCCTGGTTTGACCACTTACATTGGAGGAAGAAGGTTCATCGGCCCAATTAACTGTGTCGCCATACTGTGACTTGGACTTTGTTCCCAGCTGGGGTCTTTCTGTATTGAGTTCAGATGTTCTACTCCCACAGTCCAAAGGCATGCATGTTAGGTGGGTGTGGGTGTGTTGTCAGACGCATAAGCCAAACTCCGCACCAGGAACTTGGTTGATGATTAAGAGACTAAAGGGTTAGGTTAGGGTGGTTGTGGCTCAGGAGGTCGAACAAGTCATCTATTAATTGGATGGTTGGTGGTTTGATCCCTTGCTGCTCGCCAAAGTATCCTTGGGAAAGATACTGAACGCTGAGTTGCTCTCTGATGTGTTCATCAGAGTATGAATATTAGATAGAAGGCACACAGACAAGGGAAAAAGTGCTTGAATGAATAGGTGAGTTTTTCCTGGGAATGCATGCCATGCTGCCATGAGTTTTTTAGACAGCAGACGGAGTGTTTAGTTATCAGCCAATACTGGCAGTGCACCAACACACATATCTGCTAATTAGTGCAAAGCAACATACTAAAAAAAAATTCATATTTTACTCACCACTCAGATAATCTATTAAAATGCTCCATCAGGCCATCACGTGGCCACTAGAGAAACTGCAGTTTTTGGCAGCTCCAACATGGCTCCATTCACCAAACCCAAAAGCGGCAGGTTAGACGATGTATTCGATATCCCCGTGTTGGTGTTGTTCCTGCATCCTCATCATAATGTCGGTCCATGATCAACATTTCAAATGATCAATTACGTTGCTGTGATGTCATAGCTTTGGAATGTGGATGGAAAACACCCAACATTGTCATGATGATGCAGGGAAGCCAACATGAGGATATCCGGTCGTGGTGCTTAGACAGTCCCAACTATTTTATCCAATGACTGGTCACATGTTTTAATGTGAGAAAAGCTCATTTTGTGAAGGGTGGTGACTCTTTGTAAGAACAAGGGCTTTGCTGATCAGCCCCCAAAGAGCCAATCACCAGAGGAAAAATCAAACGTATACAACATATGAGAAAAATCCTAAAATCCACCACACTGCACATCCAATGACCTTGAGCACAGTCTGAGTGAAGACCCGGTATGTGCACCAGTTCGATTCAGTTCTAACCAACACTCGTGGAGGGGTAGCTGTTCTTGTGAGTTGTGGACAGAGGGACGAGGAACACTTTAGCATGAGTTTGTTGGTCCTTCGCCTGGATGAACCAAAAATGTTCCAATACAACTGTGGCATTAAACACACGTGACGCCTGTGTCTCCACATTGAACTCCAACTGGCCAACTTCATAGATATGTAGAGAAAATATCTGGCTCTCCAATCGTTCTGTTGGAATGTCTTTTGAGGTTTTTAGATGCAAAATTTGCATCTCGGGATAAAATGATCAGCTGTCATGCTCAGGATCCTATATTGTTTAGGATAAGAGGACACTGAGATAGGACATGTAGGTTAACTCTTAAACTCAACTTCCAAAAGCCTCATTTCTTACCTCCCTTCAACACACAATCCAATATTTTTAAAACCTTTCTTTTCCCATCACCTTGAAACCAGTTGCGGCAGATGGCTGCCCCTCCCTGAACCTGGTAATGCATGACGTTTCCTTTCCACTGTCACTAAGTGCTTGCTCATAGATGGTTACATGATTGTTGGGGGTCCTTTCTAATATTGCAGGGTCTTTACAATATAAAGCACCATGGGGTGACTGTTGTTGTGATTTGGTGCTATATATGGTAAATGGACTGGTTCTTATATAACGCTTTTCTACTTTACTTGAGTATTATATAACTAGTATTTACACATGTTCACACTCCGATGGATGCTTTGGAGAGCAACATGAGGTTAGTATTTGACATAAAGACAAGAGCAGTCAGGGAACCACCAACCTTTCAATAGCTGCTCTACAGCCACCCCCTAAATAAAATTGAATTGAGTTGAATTGAATTTTGGTACTTTACAAAAGCCTGGCTGTGCAGAATAAACAATACAACTGAAAACATAAAATCAAGTGTTTGTTCAGAATGAGGACATGGGAAAGTTTGGGTTTCTAATACTCAGATTTAAAAACAACAAAACACTGGAGTCCAGAATGTTCATCACTTTAAAAGGTTTTTGGAGTTTT